GCTATCGCGGGCTTCTCCGCTCTTTTATAATGTTATTTAGTCTTGTCGGAGGGGGTGCCTGGCGACAAGGAGATTACCATATTTGGTAATAGTTTGGTGCGTTTCGGCAGTGCTAATAATATTCGCGATTATAACATCCCTCCCCCCCATAGGAAAAGAAAACAGAGTGCCTAGCGAGGTTTTCGCAATCTTATTCTATGTACATTTTTTCCTCGCTTACAATTATGGTTATAATCGTTTGTACTTATTATACTTTATTATACTTTATTATACATATTCGTGTTACAAAATTTGTTTTCCCGTATATAAATGTGGTTACAATCGTATACTATTTCTACCTTATGCGTATAAGTTGTGTCTGCGTGCAAGCGCAGGAATTGTGGGTACTATCGGTCTAGAACGTGTTCTTACATTTCGCTGGCTACTGCGTTCTTCTATGACTGGTGGGTCTCTTCTCTTTTTTATTTTTCTTATTATGAATACTGTCAGTATAATTACTATTACTATGGTTATTCCGCTCGGTGCTATTGTACATATTATGTTTTTATAAGGAGTTCGATCTATTTTCTAAATTCTGGTATGTTTGTGTTATTTTATTACTGAGTTCCGCTAATTCCTATGGATTTTGTATTATTTTGCTGGGTTTCACATTTCGTTTTTATTTTTAATTGCGTTTATGTATGTAACGGCCTTACGTTACGTGCGGGATAGTCTTAGCCGGTGTGGTCCGGGTTTCGTGTGTGAAATGAAAACCAGTGGTATAGGTGATAATAATGCGAAACTATATTCTACTTTCGAGGCTATTTACAATTATTTACAGGCGACGTTACGCCGTTGGCGCGTGGTCGCGTTTTTGCTCTCGTCGTGAGCCGTTGTTGTCGTCTCGCGATCAGCTGCGAGCGTCGGGCGCGCGAGCGGCCGGCGGGACGCGGTCGGAATTGTTTCCGGATACACTATTGTTCGTCGTTTGGATTTCGTTGTCTCATCGGCTTTAATCTGTTTATTTATCCTGGTCTTTCCTTGCTGGTTTAAAGGCGCTCGTTGTCGCCGTTATCTTACGCCCTGTATGCGTTCGCGATCGTAGGTGTTAGCGGCGTAGCGTGAGGAGGAAAAAGGATGCCTACGTCGCGTATCCACTTCGGTCGACGGAGCGAGGTACAGATCGGAAACCGACTTCGCGTATCCACTTCGGTCGGTAGAGCGGTATCGGAGAGGATGTCGACGTCGCGTATCCACTTCGGTCGACGGAGCGAGGTACAGATCGGAAACCGACTTCGCGTATCCACTTCGGTCGGTAGAGCGGTATCGGAGAGGATGTCGACGTCGCGTATCCACTTCGGTCGACGGAGCGAGGTACAGATCGGAAACCGACTTCGCGTATCCACTTCGGTCGGTAGAGCGGTATCGGAGAGGATGTCGACGTCGCGTATCCACTTCGGTCGACGGAGCGAGGTACAGATCGGAAACCGACTTCGCGTATCCACTTCGGTCGGTAGAGCGGTATCGGAGAGGATGTCGACGTCGCGTATCCACTTCGGTCGACGGAGCGAGGTACAGATCGGAAACCGACTTCGCGTATCCACTTCGGTCGGTAGAGCGGTATCGGAGAGGATGTCGACGTCGCGTATCCACTTCGGTCGACGGAATGTCTAGGATCTCTAGGACTTGCGAGTTCTGGTCGGTCGTGCATCTGAGAGGAGCTTCCCGATCAATCTTTCTCGATATCAATTTTCCGTCGGCTTTTATACAAAATTATAACAAACAGTTTCGACTGTTTGTTGACATTGCGGTTATTCCGCGCGCGGTTGTTCGGCGTTTTTGTTATTCTTTACTTCCGGGTGTCGTGACGCTTTCCGGATCGTCACATGTATTCTTGTTCTAATGTAATATTGTATTTCGGTATGTGTGTTTGTATTAAAGTGCTTCTTATGATATCTTGTGCTTGTAATATAATACCTTCAACTGTCAGTCTACATTGATCTCTAATGTTTATAATTCATGTTTTGTTAATATTTTTATAAAATATCTTTTTGCGACATTGAATGTGAGCAGTTTGCTCGCTACGGGTGGAATATAACCACGCATTTTTCTGTGTTAAAGCAATTATAAAGGTATGGTTAACTGAAATATATTTTGTATGGCAGTTTTTTATATTCCTTAATGTTGTATACATTTGAATTTCCCTCGGTGATTCTATATTAATTCTGAATATCGGATTTTTCTGCGGGCAAGTATATTGATTTTTAAATTTTATACGTTCTGTTAATTCGTTTTCATGTAATATTATATATGTGTTTGTCTCTTGACTAATTGCGATTTTGGTGTGCGTAATCTTGGTCAATGCAAAAATGTTATCGTGACTATGTACATGAAAAGGGTGTACGTGTATTATTTCATATGTAGGATAAGTTATAAGAGGTAAGTTTAAAATAGTAAAGATATTTTTATCTCTATAATATGCGCTAATTGTGCAGAATTTCTCTATTTCTACCCAGTTTTCTTTTCTAAGTGTAAACGGGAAGTGTGTGCCTTTTGGTATGTGAATTGATATCTCCTGTAATTGGGATACGATGCTGTCTATTGGTGTTTATCTTGTTGGTAAGTTCCCTGATTTTATTCTATCTAGATAGTTGATTATGTCCTGATCGCATATTAGGTCGTCAAATAAAGCGTTGAGTAAAGTGTTTATCTATTTGCTGCCTTAGTGCGAGTCCGGCTTTGCCCGTATAGAGCTGCGTTATGCTATTCCATATTATTTTTTCATTAGTGTCTAATGTTTTTTCGAGGTTGTCTAGGTAGTGGACTGTTGTATTAATAATTTTTAATTGATTCGTTACCGCGTGTTGCAAAGTTTCTTGTTTATTTTCTAATAGATTTAATTGTTCGTTTATCGTTTTCTCATCGTTTGCGTCCATTACACCGAAAAGTGATTTCGCTATTGTACCTATTCCGTCTATTATTCCTCGTTTTGCGTACGTCGGAGTTTTGTATATGCTATGTATTAGTTCCGTTATGTTCTGTATACGATCTAGATTTTCTGTACTACTTCACGTAAGTTATCGCA